TAATAATAATGGTAATGATGATGATGATGATAATAATAACACTAATAATAATAATGATAATGATAATGATAATGATAACGATAATGATAATAACAATAATAATAATAATAATAATAACAATAATGATAATAATAATAAAAATAATAATTAATAATATTAATAATAATAATAATAATAATAGAAACGATATTCTAATTAATTTCGCGCTTCAAATTTGTGACATTGTTGGTTGCCATCTTGACAACGGCCACGTAGCATGAACAATCGTATAATTTCAAATATTTTGTTTACTAATTTCAATGAACCTTTGCGTTTTTATTTCGTTACTTTTATTTTATTTTAATATATTAAAAAATACAACTAATTAACTATTAATAGAATTTATTTAAAATATATATTGCACTGATGATGACTTTACGTCGAAATAGATCTATATGCATAACTTTAATAATAATAATATAAAAAAAAAAAATAAATAAACGATTATAAAAATGGGATCTTGCTTGATTAATTTTAACAATTAAAATCATAAACGATTATAAAATGGATTTCAACATTTTGAATAGACTTAATTGTAAAGAACTAGTTCAAAATATTAGAAAATCAACCATAAAACTTGTTAATGCTGAATCGTCGGTGGATTTTTTGAACAACTGTATATATATATATATATATATATATATATATATATATATATATATATATACATACTTAAGCGCATAATTTAAGAACATGGTATGTTAAAGGTTAGGCTAAGCATACATGACACATAATAACAACATCACTAATTGTGAGATGAGCTGGACAATTTTCTTTGTGCTATAACATGGGTTATGCATACATTATAAGCTGATCTTTGTGTAAAAGAACTTTGGCACGTGCATACATGACACATAATAAGCTGATCTTTGTGTACAGAATTTGGCGTATCACACAGCTTATTCATATATTTGAATTAATTAACTATTTGCTTGGTGTTATTTTTTGAAGTTCAATCAATCCATCAATCAATCAATCAATCAATCAATTAGCTTATAAAGCGCTATTTCCGCGATGTTCAACAGCGCTCCTCAATGAATTTTGAAAACAGATGGGTCTTGAGATCCGCTCTGAACTTCGCAAGTGATGGAGAGTAGTCAGAGAAGTAGGAAGAGAGTTCCAGAGAAAAAGACCAGAAAAAGCAAAAGCAGATTTGGCTTGACTTTGACGGCGAAGTTCCAAAAATGTTGAAAATTAATGAGAAACTTCATAGCTTGAACAGCGACGCAATTGAAAAAGTTAGATTATTATTACTAAGTTTAAAGCTAAGTATGCATATGCATTACGCTAAATAATAGTCATTGTGATAACAGAAAAGGACACGTAGGGCACATCACTATTTATTCTATTTGTTTTTGGACGATAACTAATGTACAGTGTGACTTTTACTGTGGCACGCTTTTTAGTTCATTCAATTCGTTTGGTTAAAGAACGTTATATTTATTTTACGTAACAAATTAGTATACGTACATTACGCTTATTGTTTTCTATTTAGTTTGTGTTTCAACTCTTCAAAACCATCGGATCAGTTGGATAGTTACTTGAATGAAATCAACAGAGATATCAAACAACATTCTAGACTTCTGGAAATCTAAATCTTCAAAATGACTAAAGTTGTCATCAGTAGCTGCTCAGCTTCTAAGTATTCCAGCAACTAGTACATCCTCAGAAAGATGTTTCTCCACCACTGGAAGAACACTGGAAGATAGGCGCTCAAGACTTTCACCAGAATCTGTTGATCAGCTGCTTTTTCTCAACAGTCAAGGAGTGGCATAATATTTACAAACAATTTACTAAAACACTAACTGTTATTAACCAGTATTTTTTTTTGTTTTTATAATAAAAATTGTACATGGAATGTACTACATAATACTCTGACTAAGGATACTTTGATTGTTTTTGTTAATAATGATATAATTATTGAGGGAATGAGTGCGGGAAAATGAGGATTTGTGAGGGAATAAGTGCGGGTGAGGGAAGGCTTGTGAGGGAATGGGTGCGGGTCAGGGAAGACTTGTGAGGGAAGACTTGTGAGGGAATGAGTGCGGGTGAGATAAAATTCATTTTCAGGAGGGGCAGGTGAGGGAATAGAAATGTGTTCTCGCGTAGATCTCTAGTATGTATGTATCAAAGACATATATATATATATATATATATATATATATATATATATATATATACATATATATATATATATATATACATAATATAATGGAATAATATATTCCATTATATTATTTCTGTGCGTATTTCCAAACAATATATAGATTTGTTCATACCGTTTCTCACATTTTTTATCAATTTGTGTTATGACACTGGTTATTGTTAGGGTTGCACCAGAGTTCGGCCCCTGTCCCGGCCAAAATCCGGGGCCAAAAACCTAAATTTGGTACATCTCTAATTATTATCCTAAGGCGTTAAAACATGCCGTTGTGACTCCCTTATTAAAAAAGTCATCTCTTGATAAGGATTATATGCAAATTATCGCCCGATTTCCAACCTCTTGTATTTATCGAAAGTCGTTGAACGTTTAGTTCTAAAACAGTTTTTGAATGTGCATGGTTTAATTACAATCCATCAGTCTGGTTACATCAGTATCACTCTACTGAAACTGCTCTGATCGATATTTCTTCTGAATTGTTTGCATCTGTGGAATTGTAGTTTAAGCATTGTCCAGAGTTTGTTGGTTTGACGTATACTTGGGTAGAGAGCTGATTTGCGTGCATGGTGACAAAAGTGTCAAGAAAAGAGATTTTATTATTGTTACTAACTTCAATTGTAAATGATAAGCAAGAGTTATTCTGGAACAGGTTTTGGAGTTGATATATGTCAGCTATAGACTTTGTGATGATAAAGAACTGTAGATACAGTGAACCGTAAATAACTCACATGTAGATACAGTGAGTTATTTGGCGCAACAAATGGATTGCGTATGGTACATAGTTGGAGGAGCTCTTTAAGTAAATGAGGAGGAATGTCGAGTTGAGGAAGAGAAGGGTGGTTGTATACGTATTGGCAGATAATTTCAATAGTTTGCAGGACTGGTATGTTGGTAAAAAGGCTTTCAACGTCTAACGACGACAAGTGTCCTGTGGTATCTTTATGGCTATGGATGATGTCGGCAAATTCATAACTTGATTTAACGGAAAAGTTACGGGGTACGTATGGCAAGATAAGTTGATTGATAGTTTTAGCTAACTGGTAGGTTGGAGTTAGGCATTGAGAGATGATGGGGCGTAGTGGGTTGTTAGGTTTGTGTATTTTTACATTACCATAGATATATTCTGGAGAGTAGTTTCCAACGATTGGTGTTAGTTTGACGTTGGACGAACTGAGGTTGATTAGTGCAATCAATTTATTAGCGTCTGTTTTGATATCGGATGTGGGGTCTTTATTAATTGGTGAAAACTTTGTACTATCAGAGAGGATGTTATTAATTTGATGAAGATAGTCGGACCTATTAAGGATAACGTATGTGTCAGACTTGTCAGATTTACGTATGGTAATAGCCTTATTTTGACGTAGTTGTTTGGCAGCGTGAAACATGATGGGCTCTATTGTATGTTTTGTTGGTGTATAACGGTGTCGATGCGCCTCGGTCTGTAACTGACTGTGGAATGAATTATCAAATTTGATGAAACGTTGATTTTTAAGCCTAAGACAATCGGCGTAAAGTGTTTCCAATTCTGTTTGTTTAATTAGTTTTTGATATGGTTTACGTATATGAGTGTTAAGTCCCAGATTCAAAAAGGACGATTCGTCTGGTGTTGGCTGATATTTAGATAAATTAACGAAAAATTGTGTATCGTTATTAGGAAGAACGATATGTCCATTATAAAGTTGACTAAGTTTATTAGTAATAATCCGTTTTTTACTGAGGTTGAAATTGTCGTAACGTTGTTGGACGAAAACGTTGAAGGTATCATAATTTATGTTAGGATCTTTAAATAAAGATTGAAGAAAATTGTCATATTGTTGCGATAATAATTTATGTTTAATTATTAATTTAGTTAGCTCGTTGCCTATAACTTCTTTTGGAGAAGTACGTTGGAGACTGGAGGAACCTCGAGGTTGATGACGTATATAATTTGGTATGAGGTTCTCAGATAAACATGTATCTAATATTCTATTTTCTATTTCTTATAATTTATATTATTAACTCCTCATTTGGTTTTACAATCTAGGCTCCGACGATGGCATTAGCCGAAACGGCCGTCAGCCAAACTTCACAGTTTAATAAAGTTGAAACAAAACAGCTTCGTGTTGTTGAAATTTTATTTAAAAAACTTCTAGCTGCAAAATGGGGTGTAATCTTTAACCGAACATGTTTATCTGAGAACCTCATACCAAATTATATATATATATATATATATGTGTTGGTAATAGACCATAATTTTTACAATATTCTATAAATTCTACCGAATGTTTGGCGTTAATATGTTTGTAGTTCGTTTTTTCGATTTTTCTCACTAAAGTTTTTTGGTGAACGTTTAGTTTATTAAAATTCAAAATAAACTTACTTTTCGAATTCATGCTGCAAATAAGGCCATATTTCGATTCCGAATGCATCATCGTCAGTGCTCCTTGCTGTATATATAGGGAAATATTGACTTTGTCAAAAGTTAACTTCGACGTTGTAAAAATTAAACTTAAAATTAAACTCCGAATTTATTACAACAATAAAAAGACGTCTCACCTAATACTGAAAAACAACTGCAGTCCTAGAGATAACTCTGAGTTAAAGCGTA